GCTCCTAAGATGTCCCCCAAGGGTGGGGGCTGAGAACCGTGGCAAGGGCAGGGTCAGCCCCGTGGTCAGGCCCGTCGGGGCGACAGCATCCGGGGAGCGCAGCCCGCCCTGCTCACTGCACTGCCCTCCTGTGCCCCAGGAGGCCGTGGAGGAGGTGACCAGGCGCGTGCACTCCCTGCGCGGGAAGAAGGACGGGCTGGTGCCCATGTTCATCAACACCAACAGCGGGCTGTTCACCCACCTGGGCGTGTTCACCCTGGGCGCCAGGGCCGACAGCTACTACGAGTACCTGCTGAAGCAGTGGATCCAGGGTGGGAAGAAGGAGACACAGTGAGGCCCGTTTCTCAGCTCTCAGGGTGGTGGGAACTGGCAGCCGCGCCAGCTGGGGCCGGGCCCCTCCGCGGGGTGGGGTTCTCCTCACAGCCTGTGTGCAGAGCCAGGGCCCGGCTGGCCGCTGGGGTCCACGGCTCGTCAGTGCCGGGCAGCCGGGGTCTTCCTCGGGCCTGTGGCCGCCCCTCTGGCGTCCGCTCCCGTGGCAGACGACCGGGGCCACCTGGGCCTCCTCGAGCTTAGTGCCCTGACCCTGAAAATGCACGCTTCCCGGGGAGCAGCCGTAGCTCCTCGTCAAGGTTGGAAAATAGAGATTAACCCTCAAGTCTCAGGCCCAGGGGTGACAGTGACCCAGAATCAGGGGCAGGGGCAGCTCCAGGCCATCACCCACGGGTGAAACAAGGGTGTCACCCACTGGGGAGCCCGCGGGCTGGTTCAGAGAACTGGGGTGAGCGCGTCGGGGCCAGGGGCTCGGCAGAGACTGGTCTCTGGTGGCCCCTTGGGGCTGGTTGGGAGGCATGGGCCCTGGTGAGGGGTGGGGGCAGAAGCCCACGGGGCTGACGCGGGCCTCCACGCGGAGACTGGCGGGGCACCACCCCAGACAGGGCAGCCGCGAGAATGGGGACGGGCGCTCAGGGTCGTGCCCTTTCCCGGAACATGGGCCCCGCTGGTCTGCACAGGCTACTGGAAGACTACCTCAAAGCCGTGGAGGGCATCAGAAAGCACCTGCTGCGCAGGTCTGAACCCGGCCAGCTGACCTTCGTGGGGGAGCTCGCCCACGGCCGCTTCAGCGCCAAGATGGTGAGCCTGGGCTGACGCGGCCGAGTGGGGTCTTGGGGCTCCGCCCTCTGTCCTTGACATCGGATGGCTCTGAGACTCCGGACGTCGGAGGGAACCATGCGATTCTGGCCGCGGAGTGTGAGCCGTCCCGAGTGGACGTGGGCTGCGCAGCCTGGGCTGTCCCGTGACAGGGGGAGCTGAGGTCTGTGTGGTGCCAGGGCCCCTCCCCTGCTCCAAGCCCCGCCTCCCGTGCTCCAGGGGACCCCTGCCCCCAGCCCCCCTTCCCCCGCCCTCCTGCAGCTGGTGTTCCATCGGCCGTTTGGGGCAAGAGGTGAGGGAGACCCGGCTCAGCATGTGCTCCCCGGGAGGTGGTGGTCCTTCTAGCAGCTTCTGCCCTGCGCACGTGGGGCCCTGGTGTGTGGCCTGCAGTTCAGTCCCCTGTTGGAGCCCTGCCGGCACTCAGGCCTGTTGGCTCCTGGGAACACGGGAGGCCTGATAACGCTGGACCTGTGTGGAACCCGTGAGGCCGCAGGTCCATGGTGGTGAGGTGACCCTCTGATTCCAGGACCACCTGGTGTGCTTCCTGCCGGGGACGCTAGCTCTGGGCGCCCACCACGGCCTGCCCGCCGACCACATGGAGCTGGCCCAGGCGCTCATGGACACCTGCTACCAGATGAACCGTCAGATGGAGACGGGGCTGAGCCCCGAAATCGTGCACTTCAACCTGCACCCCCAGAGGTCCCATAAGGACGTGCAGGTCAAGGTGAGCCACGCTGGGGCTGGTGCGGCTCAGGGGCGCCAGGGCAGGGGCGTGGCGAGGCTCATCCTGAGCCCGCATTCCTCCCCAGGCCGCCGACAGACACAACCTGCTGCGGCCCGAGACGGTGGAGAGCCTGTTCTACCTGTACCGCCTCACGGGCCAGCGCAAGTACCAGGACTGGGGCTGGGAGATCCTCCGCAGCTTCAACGCGTACGCGAGGGTGAGGCCGCCCGCCCCTGGGTCTCATCCCCAGCTCCTCGCCGTCGCCTGCCGCTGGACTGGGTGGGGGAGGGCCCAGGGGGCCAGGGCATCCCTCCTCCCTGTCTCGGGGGGCCAGCCTGGGTGGGGCGGGTCCCTGCAGCGGCCCGAGGTGCACAGGGCGTGTCCCTCCTGGGTCGTCTGTGTCTCGGCCGCTGCACCCCAGGACGGGTGCCGTGACCGCCACCACCCCCGCTGTGCTCAGGCCCAGCCGCCCATCGTGCAGCCGGGGCCATGGCTCAGAGAAGGTCTCGCCCTGCACAGGGCCCAGTGCCCAGTGCCCAGCCCAGCAGAGCTGAGACTTGGTCTTTGCCCCGTGGCACGTGAGGTGCTGGGTTGTACACCCCTCGGGTGACCTCCGGGCTTTTGCAAGACCTGTACAGGTTCTGGAGGTCGCACTTTCCATCTGGTCGCTTGCAGGCTGCTGGCATCCCCCAGGGGGTCCCTGGAGGAACCACGGCTGACCTCCGGGGCGGCCAATCCCCTTGTGGGCCTTGGTGTCCTCACCGCCCCAGACCCTGCCCTGGGGGGCCTCTAGCCTGCAGCCCTTGAAAGGGCTGAGCCTGCGTCGTGACGCCGTGGCCTTGGCTCTCGTGCAGGTCCCCTCGGGCGGCTACTCTTCCATCAGCAACGTCCAGGACCCGCGCAATCCCCAGCCCAGGGACAAGATGGAGAGCTTCTTTCTGGGGGAGACGCTCAAGTACCTGTACCTGCTCTTCTCCGACGACCCAGACCTGCTCAGCCTGGACACTTACGTGTTCAACACGGAAGCTCACCCCCTGCCCATCTGGGCCCCCTCCTAGGGCGGGACGGCTCCCGAGTGGGTGCTGCCCGGGGGACTGATGAGTCCTGTCATGGAGCGTGCCTGTGGGCAAGACCCTGGCCCTGACCTTGGCTGTGCGGTGTCCTCCCAGCCGGCTGGAAGTGCTCCAGGCCGGGCTGATGACCGAGGCCAGCGGCAGCTGGGCCAGGACGTTTCGGGGCCTCACAGCTGCTTGGGGTGGCCGCTGGGCTTCTGGTGCTCTGCCACGGGTCTGGGCTCCTTGCCTGGTTCTCGTCGGGACACCGTTAGGAACAAGTAGGAATAAATCAGTGTTGTGATTCAGGGAGGTCCCGTCCACCCGGGGAGTCTCTTCCTTCTTCCTGAGAAAATGATATCGTGACTACATTCCTGAAACCCGAATGCCCTCCTGCTGGCCGTGCAGGGCTTCCTAGGGGTCCTGGGCCACACTGGGTCCCCAGAGCCCATGATGAGATCAGAAACAGGTGCTGCGGGGACAGCCTGGGTAGAGCTCAGCCTCGAGGCCTCACAGCCTGTGAACACGCCCCAACCCGGGGGTCTCAGGGGGCATCCGTGACCTCATGGGGATCTGGGCCCCTGGCTGGCTGTGGTGTTTACACGTTGGACTCAGGGATCCTCCCCTTGCCCTTGCAGGGGCTGGGCGGGGCTGGGCCGGCAAGTTCACTGGCTCCCAGGCCAGCCCTGATGGATGGACTTTTCAGTGGAGATAAAAGTACATTTGTTCTAACTGGCACCTGCTGTGTCTTTGTTTCCGGAATCGCAACTCTGAAACGGGGAGGGGCGGCAGGGGCAGTGTTTGGGTCAGGTCTGACGTGTCCAGAGGTCAGCTGTGCCCCTGCCCCCGGGGGGAGATTTGGGAGCGTCAGCTTCCCAGGGCAGGTGCTGGCCACAGTGGTGCCCAGGGTGAGAATATGCCTGTGACGGTTGCCAGCGCCAGTGAGCATGGCGGGCCCTACCTGCTCTGCCCGCTTCCCTGGTGTGTGGGGTGTCCGCGCCTGGGGCTCCTTCTCAGGGTGCCTGGTCAACCTATTTCATTCCTTCTTTTAAAAAATAAATTTATTTTATTTAATTTTGGCTGCATTGGGTCTTCGTTGCGGTGCGCGGGCTTCTCATTGCGGTGGCTTCTCTTGTTGCGGAGCACGGGTTCTAGGTGCACGGGCTTCAGTAGTTGTGGCTCGTGGGCTCTAGAGCGCAGGCTCAGTAGTTGCTCTGTGGCATGTGAGATCTTCCCGGACCAGGGCTCGAACCCGTGTCCCCTGCATTGGCAGGCGAATTCCTAACCACTGCACCACCACGGAAGCCCTCACTCCTCTTCTTCAGCCGGCTCCATCCATGCCTTAGGACTGACCCCGGGGTAGCTTTCCAGAGAGAAGCCAGGATCCTGGGCCTCGGCTGGCCCTAGCTCCCAGGCCCTGGTGACCCTGCAGGACAGGCCAGCCCCTTCTCTGTGTAAGGAGACTTCGTTCTTACCCCTAGAAGCCTCCACACAGGCGCCGGACCCAGGGTCAGGCAGCGCCTGGCCTGTTGCTGTGGCCCCTCCTCCGCTCGCACCTTGTGTGCTCACCCTCAGGCAGGGCTGCCGCCCTCCACTTGCCCACGGGCCCTGCAGGCTCCGTGCCCGGCAGGTGCCCGGCAGGTGTGCGGGGCCCGTGTCTCAGTCAGCCTCTTGCCCTGCCTCTCACAGCTGTGGCTGCCTGCCTGGCACGACCTCCCCAGCTGGGGGGGCACGTGATGCCCCCTGTCGCTACCCCCGCCCCCCATACCCCAGCGCAGGAGCCTCTTGGGCAGCGGTGGGTGTGGGACTCGGGACAGCAGGGTTCCCACACGGTGGGGCCTGAGTCCGCTGAGTGAGGCAGACTGCCCCCCGGCCCCGCCCAGGCCTGGCCCCAAGCAGGGGGACTTGGGGGCTGCAGGGCTCCCCAGACGGACACTGCAGTGGTTGGGGACGAAGAGGATGAAGAGGACAGCTGAGAAGGGAGGTGGAGAATCACTGGGGTGGCCTCTCGTGGTGGTGTGGATTGGCCACTGCAGGAAAGGCCGGTATCCCCCGTCACCCAAGGCACAGATGGGAGCTGAGGACGCTGCTTTATTTATCAGCGGAGTTTAGGAGGTGGTGTAAGTGTGTTCACTGTGTCCAGGGCCTCAAGACAGGACAGGACGTGGGACAGGACATGCCTGACAGGCCACCAGTGTTTGTCCGGCCTCTCCCTCGGGCAAGGCCCTGCCCACCCTGGCCGAGCTCCAGGTTCAGGATGTCGGGCCAGGGCTCCTCCCCCGCTTACTCGCCTCAGGCTCCCAGCAAGTCCTCCCTGGTCCTGCTGGGGGAGCACCCCTCAGCCTCGGAGCCCCTGTGCTGTGCCAGCCGCAGCCGCTGCTCATGCCTCGCTGCCTCGACCCACTTGCCGATGAGGGTGGCCTCTAGCCTGCGCGCCTCCACGACAGATGCGGGGTCTTCTGGGTGGGACGCTCTGAGGAGCAGGCGTGGGGGGCACTCAGCAGGGCTGGCAGGCCCCGAGCCTCACACCACCCTAGCCCACGTCCACCCATCGGCCCAGGCCAGGTACTGCACCCCCTCCCCAGGCAGGACCACACCTGAGGTCCAGGTGATGCGCTCCCCCGTGGATGGTGACGGCGAGGACTGACATGCTCAGGTTGCTCTGAATCTGTATCATTGAAGGAGCATCCGTGTCAGGGGTGCAGACTGTGCTCTCGGCCTCAGCCTCGCAGCACAACCTGCTGGGAGGCTGCATGTCCCAGCCTGTGGGGTGCAGTTAAAGCAGTAGTTTGAGGTGACTGCATAGACCTGAACGGTCCCATTAGAAATGAAAGGTGAAGACGAATGAGTCAGAAGCCAGGCCGCCATAAGAAGTAGAAAAAGAACCAACAAAGGGAGAGAAGGGAAGAAGGGAGATTGGAACAAAAACCAAGGAGGTGCAGAGCCAAGAGTGCCAGGACCCACACAGGGCAGGGACTTCCTGGCCTGACTCACCCCTCCCCCGGCCCAGGGGTCCAGGTCACCGTTGGAGAAGATGATGTTGCTGGCAGCCGTGAGGTCTGAAATGGACAGAGCAAGCAGTGGTGGGGACTGGGTGGGCCCCCCACCCCAAGTCTGTGACCCAGGGGCTAGGGAGTGTGGGAAACAGAGGCAGCTCAGTGCAGGGGGAAGGATGCCGCCCCCAACCCTGTCTTGAGCCTCACCGCCTCCCCCAAAGCTGGTCTGCAGCCAGTCCTGCCGGGGCCACACGCCCCACGTGTCCAGGCAGTACTGCTGGCGCAGGGCTTCGGTGAAGGGCAGGTCAGGGAAGATGTCCGACACATTGTTACTGGAAAACGTCAGGTTGATCTCAGTGCAGGCCTGCAGGACACCGCACCACCATCAGGCCAGGGGGCCAGGACACCACATGTAGCACCCCATACCTGGCAGTCCCAGGCCCCCAGCTCCCACATACCTGGTAGTCCCAGGCCTTGGCATCAGGGCCCAAGCCGCAGCCCGTGGGGTCGGCACAGACCTGGTACTGCAGGTAGATGTCATAGCAGGGCTCCGTGCCCGAGGAGTTGTACACCAGGCCTGGGGGAGAGGAGTACTGGGGCTGGGTGCCTGGACACTCACCCTGCCCCTTTAGACGGGTCCAGCAGGTGTCAGGGGCTCTGGGGTCCTATGGGCCCAGTGAAGAGTGGATCTGTACTATCAGCTCCTGTCCTGGCTGCTGAGGGCAGCTGGGCAGCCCACCTTGATGTTCTCCCTCCCAGCAGGGTGGACCGAGGTGGGGTGTGCTGCCCTTTGCACTAGGGACCTCCCAGAAGGCCCTTGGGTTCGCGCTCTCCAGGCTGGGCCATGAGGGGGATGGCCACTTCCTGCCCCAGGGACCAAGTGGAGGCTTCTGCGCTCCCCGCCCCCGTACGGCCCTCATTGCTGCCCGCCCACTCCTCAGCCCACCCGCTCCCCTGCCAACACTGGGCCCCTCACGCTTGACACCAGCCCAGGCAGGTGGGCAGACGCACCGGCCAACGATCGGAGCCCCTTGATCCTCTGGCTCTCGCTCAGCAGCCGGTCGCAGCCAACCTGTGGGTGCCAGCAGAGCCCCTCAGCCGGCCACCCCCCTCGAGACCTTCCCTAGTCCCAGGTCCCAGAGTAGGTGCAAGGTCCTGGGGCTGGCCAGCTCTGACCACCCCAGGGCAGCCAGGCCCTTCCCTATCCACAGGACACTGCCCTCCCCGGGCTCCCGCCAGCCAGGGGTGGGTGCCTCGCCTTGACGGGGTTGGCAGGAAGGTGTCCCACGAAGTCGGTAGGGTACGGGTAGTCCATCATGGCCAGCAGGGTGAAGGCATTCCGGGCAAACCCGAAGAGTTGGGTCAGGTCCCCTGGGCCAGAGAGTGGCCAGCAGGTGCCGAACTCTTGGCTGACCGTGTCATAGGCTGCCAGGAGAAGCAGGAGAAGGGCCTCTGAAGCCTTCAGGCACATGTGGGGGAGGGGGAATGGGGGGCAGGGAGGCAGGGGGCGGCCTCCTCACCTCCCTGTAGGAACAAGTCCTTGATCTTCCGGAAGGCGTCCCGCACGGCCTGGGCACACTTGGGACTCTGGCCCTCAAAATCCTGGAGGAAGGAAGGGTGTGGCTGCACCCGCAGCCTGGGCTGCTTGGGGGAGGGGTCGGGGGCCGGAGGCTTCACTTACTGCTGAGACGTCCCGAAAGAACTGGTAGGGGTCACCGAGGCCTGCCACCGAGACGACAGGTGCGCTGGCTGCGAGTGCCCCCGCCACGAGGTGGGGGTACTTTATCCTCATGTAGGCGCTGAGCATCCCCCCATAGCTGGGCAGGGGCGCAGGGTTAGCTGGGTGGCTCCCCACGCCACCCTGCAGCACCCCGCTCCCGCCGGCCCCAGTGCGCCTCCGCGACGACACCTGCCTCCTCTCTCCTTTCTCAGAGCCCCCCACCCCATGCCTCCAAAGGACCCCAAACTTCTAAGACCCACAGAAATTCTGGCCGGGGCCAGGCTTGCATTTGTTCCGGGAGAGTAAGGAGACAAGGACGCACCTCCCGCCAAAGGCGATGGCGGGGGCGTCCTGGGCCCCAAGTTCCTGCCGAAGCGCCCGGAGCAGCCCCGCGTAGTCGGCCAGGGCCTGCTCCACCGTCAGCAGCTCCGTGTACCCGCGGCACCTGGACCGCTCACCGAACGGGAGAGACTTTCCATAGTACCGCTGTGGGCAGGAGACCAGGGGTCACTGACCCCGCGCCCCGGTCTGGCCCCCACTCCCACCCCCAGCCCCAGCCGGTACCCACGTGCTCGGCAAAGACGACCAGGGCCCCCTGCTGCGCCGCCAGCTCCAGGATGAACCCCGAGTTGTTGGCGAAGGACCACACGTCCCCCTCGTTGCCCGTGTAGAAGAATATTGGCCCCTCGCCCCTCTTCCAGAACTTCTCTGTCGGATGGAGGCAAGGGGGCGGGTGAGGCGTGGGGTGCCGTCCTCACCCGACAGCAGGAACTGTCCCCAGGGCGACCTCACCTGACAGCAGGAACCGCTGGCGGAAGGTCTTGTTCCCAAACCTCTCGAAGTTGAAATGGTCCAGGAGCTGCTCGAAGTAGGCCTCCTGAAAGTCAGGGTCCGTGGCTCTGTGGGCTGGAGGGCACAGCGCTCAGCGGGGGGCACCTGGGGGTGCCGGGTGGGGGGCCCGCGGGCCGGCACTCACCCCCGGCCTCCAGGCTGCGCAGCTGCAGGGCCAGCACCAGGGCCAGGGCCCACGTCGGGGCCGCCTGCGGCGGGGAGCTCATGTTCACTTTGCCCGCCGGCTTCGGGTCAGGTGGGCGGGGTCACGTGACCGGCAGGACGCCCTCACGTGACGGCCTGGGCGGGGCTGTGAGCAGCTCTGCCGTGTCCCGCCGGCGGCCCGCTTCCGGGTCCTCAAGCTTCTGGCGCTCCTGTGTCACCACGAAGATGGTCGCTGTGGGGCACAGGAAGTGGGCCCAGGGCTCGAGGGCCCGGTGCTGGGCGGGGACGTGCCTGGCCAGTCACCCGTCCTCTAGCGGCCACTGCTGAGGGCCGGGCGCCGTGCCACACACGCACCGGGCGGAAGTGCCTGCCCCGCTGCCCAGCCGCCTCCCGGCCGCACGGCGTTGTCCTGGGTCGGGCCCCCCAGCGGGCAGCCCCAGGGGAGGGTCACCGTCAAGGGCAGGGCTGGGGAAGGCCGCCTCCTGAGCAGCTGCTCAGAACGAGCCCTGAGAGGGAGGGAGGGAGCCTTAGGAGGATGGGGGTGGGGGCTCCGTCGAAGAGCGTCGGCCGCCGTGGAAGAAGAGCCTGTCCTGTCCGAGCAACAGTGAGGGCCCGTGTGGCTGGGCAGGGGGCGGGCGAGCGGGGGCCTCGGAGCCCAGGCAGGAGTTTGGGCAGCTGGTGGGGGTGGAGAAGGCTAGGAGGCCAAGCCTGGGATCTGGGACCCCCTCCCCTCCCCATCAGGCCAGCCCCCTCACTGGCTCCGCAGTACCCAGAGGACGGAAGGGCCACCTCTCCCCCGGTGCCAGTCCAGGGCCCGGTGAGGGGCCAGACAGGCCAAGCTGGGCGGCCCGCTCAGCACAGGTGGGGCCGTGCTGACCACAGTCCTGCTGGGGACGTGGGCAGTGAGCCAGGCAGCAGAGGGAAGGGGAGCCACCCGTTCCCACTCCCAAGACTGTCCCCGGCCAGCTCGACCCCCAGGCTTTGCCCAGGCCTGGACTGTCTGGTGCTGGGACGGCCCAGGCTGGGCTGGGGTCCTGGGCTCTGGCCACAGCCGGGAAACCGGGCCAGCTGGCCCATTGGCTTCCCCTCACACAGTCCCAGGACTGTTGCAATGGCAGTCAGCATGGTGACAATGACTGTCCATCACATGACACCACCCTATGGGTGTAGTCACCCTGAGGTCACCCAGTGCCACCCCACAATCATCCCACAGCCCCTGTCCCCATCCCCATGTCCCTGTGTCCCCGTCCCCATGTCCCTATCCCTGTGTCCCTGTGTTCCTCACTTTCCCATGTCCCCACGTGCCCACCCCCGTGTTCCCATGTCCCTATGTCCCCATCCCTGTGACTCCATGTCCCCCACGGCCCCGTGTCCCCATCCCTGTGTGCCCACCCCCATGCCCCCATCCTTGTGTCCCCATGCCCCCTTTTCCGTGTCCCTGTGTGCCCAGGTTCCCATGTTCCCATGTCCCTGTTCCTGGGTCCCCATCCCTGCACCTAGGGATTCCTGTCCTGTGTTGAGAGAGCTACACTTGAAGGCCCCCAACGGCCTCTTCAGGGTGGGGGCAAGGACAAGACACAAGGACTCACAGCCCCTTCCCCTGGATGGCAGCCCCTCCCCAGGCTGCTCTCACTTGCATCTCTTCCTCTATCAGCTCAGGGGCCTGATCCCAACACCCCCACCACAGACCCACTACGTTCCCCCCTCCCAACCCTCCAGGCAGCTCCTCCATGCCTGGGGTGGAACTGAAAAGGCCCAGAGAGGTGCATTCTGAGACTGTCCTGCCACACCTGGTGACCCTGAACACTCGGGTATGTCTGGGGGTCCAGGGCCCTTCCTCCAACTGCCCGGGGCCACTGACTTTGGGGACAAAGCTGGGGCCTGATTCCCCCTCCACAGCCCACAGATTTGGGGAGCCAGGCCCAGTCCCTCATCACAACCTACTCTGCCCTTTTCAGACCTCAAAGCTGCCAGGAACCAAGGGTGGGGAGGGGGGATGGATGGGAGGTACCAAAGTAGGTCCCAGGGCTCTCAGCTCTGGCCCATTAAGTTATACACTTTCAACCACATTTAAATGCATTGGCTTTTTCCCCCCCCCAAACACAAATAATCTTTTACTTACTTACTTACTTATTTATTTATTTGGCTGCGCTGGGTCTTAGTTGCAGCCTATGGGATCTTTAGTTGCGGCATGTGGAATCTAGTTCTCTGATTAGGGATAGAATCTGGGCCCCCTGCATTGGGAGCGCAGAGTCTTAACCACTGAACCACCAGGGAAAGTCCCTAAATGCACTGGCTTTAACGCATCATCATTATTTCTAAAACGAGTTCATTTTTCCAAACAGAAACCATTCACTCATTAAACAACAACTCCCAATTCCCCCTCCCCCAGCCTGGGGTGACCTCTATTGTCCGGTCTCTATGAATTTGCCTATTCTAGATACCTCATGTAAGTGGAATCATACAGAATTTATCTTTTTGTGTCTGGCTTATTTCACTGAGCATAACGTCTTCAAGGCTTATCTATGTCACAGCTTGTGTCAGGATTTCCTTCCTTTTTTTTTTTTTTCCCTTCCTTTTTAAAGGTAAATAATATTTCATTGTATGGATGGACCACATTATGCACATCCATTCATCCATCAGTGGACACCTGGGTTGTTTCCAACTCTTGGCTATTGTTTAAAATGCTGCTGTGAACCTGGGTATACAAATATCTCTTCAAGACCTTGCTTTCAATTTTTGGGGGGGTATACCCAGAAGTGGGATTGCAGGATCATATGGTAATTTTATGTTTCATTTTTTGAGGAACCTCCATATGTTTTCCACAGCATCTGCATCATTTTACATTTCAACCAGCAGTGCACAAAGGTTCCAATTTCTCCACATCCTTGCCAACACTTGTTTTCTGTTTAATAGTAGCATCCCATGAGTGTAAGTGGTCTGTCATTCAGATTTTGATTTGCATTTTCATGATTAGTGACGTTGAGTATCTTTTCATGTACTTATTGCACATTTATAAATCTTCTTTGGAGAAATGTCTTGAATGGGCAAGGGGTGTCCCCAAGCAGGTCCCAGTGCTCTCAGCTCTGACCCACGCGGCACCTGCAGTTATGCCCACGTTCGTGTGTGTGTGTGTGTGTGTGTGTGTTAAATTATACATAACATATAAGGTACCCTTTTGACATTATAAAAGGTGTTTTCATTCTTCATTTTGTTGAGTTTTAGTTTTTTGTTAATTTGGGTTTTTGTTTTTGAGGTTTTGTTGTTTGTTGAGTTTCAAGAGTTTTTGTTTTTGTTGTTGAGTTTTAGAAGTTTTAAAAAGTATATTCTGGTTATTAAACCCTTATCAGATTTGTAGTTTGAAAATATTTTCTCCCATTCTGTGGGCTGCCTTTGTACTCTTGATAGTGTCCTTTGCTGCACAAACATTTTTACTTCGATGACGTCCAACATGTGTCTGTTGTTGCTTGTGCTTTTGGAGTTTTATCTAAGAATCCGTTGTCAAACCCAAGGTTATGAAGATTAACCTGTATGTTTTTTTCTAGGGGTTTTGTGGTTTTAGCTCTTATATTTAGGTCATTGATTCACTTTGAGTTAACTTTTTGCATATGGTGTGACGTAGGGGTCCAACTTCATGTGGAAATCTAATTTTCTCAGAATCATTTGCTGAAGACAAATTATTTCCCGCATTAAATAGACTTACTGCCCTTGCAGAAATCAATTGGCCATAGATATATGAGTTTATTTCTAGAGCCTTACTTGTGTTCCATTGGTCTATGTCTATGCTTATGACAACACCACACTGTTTTGAACACTGTGCGTTTGTAGGAAGTTTTGAAATTGGGAAATGTGCGTCATCTAACGTTGTTCTTTTCCAAGATTATTTTGGCTATTCAGGGCCCCCCTTGCAATTCCATATGAATTTGAGGATTGACATAAAATTTCTGCAAAAAAAAAAAAGAAAAAAAACACTGCTGGAATTTTGATAGGGATTGCATTGAACCTGTACATCACTTTGGGTAGTACTGACATCTTAGAATTAAGTCTTCCTGGGACTTTTCTGGTGGTCCAGTGGTTAGGACTCGGTGCTTTCACTGCTGGGGCCGTAGTTCAATCCCTGGTCAGGGAACTAAGTATAAGCCGCGTGGTGCAGCCAGAAAAAAAAAAAAAAATCTTTCTACTCGTGAACAAAGGACATCTTTCCAATTATTTAGGTTTTCTTTAATTTATGTCAACAATGTTTTATGGTTTTCAGTGTACAATTAAATCACCCCCTTGGTTAAATTTATTTCTAATTATTTTATTCTTTTAGATGCTATTTTAAATGGAATTGCTTTCTTAATTTCCTTTTGAATTGTTCATTGCAGGTGCGTAGAAACATAACTGACTTTGTTTGTTGATCTAGTACCCTGCAACTTTCCTGCATTTATTATCTCTAGTAGCTTTCCTGTGGATTTTTTTGTGTATATCTTCTAGATATTTTCTTTGCTTACCAGGGAGACTGCACTTAACATCCTAAATTTATAACAGCGTACTTGAGGTGGACAACTTCACTCAATCACATAAACTATGCTTCTAAGCAGTTCCATCTGCTTTATGTTGTCATTGCAAACTACATGTTTGTACACGGTGTGCACAATTACATGAATTTGTAATTGTTTATGCATTTGTTTTCCAAATCATGTAGTAAATAAAAAGTGGAGTCATAACCCAAAATACAGTAATACTGGTTCTTATACTTGCCCATGGTTTTGCCTTTACCACAGATCTTTATTTCTCCCTATGGCTTTGAGGTACTAACGTCCTTTCATTTAAATCTGAAGGGCTACCTTGAGCATTTCCCGTAGGCCAGGTCTGGTGGTGATGAACTCCCTCAGCTATTGTTTATCTGTGAATGCCTTAAATTCTCCCACATTTTTGAAGGTCAGTTTTGCTGGATATAGAATTCTTGGTTGACAATTTTTCCATCACTTTATTTTTTAAATTATTTATTTATTTTTGGCCGTGTTGGGTCTTTGTTGCTGTGCGTGGGCTTTCTCTAGTTGCGGCGAGTGGGAGCTACTCTTCGTTGCGGTCTGCAGGCTTCTCTTGTTGTGGAGCACGGGCTCTAGGCGCACA